CACACACACACATCTTTGAATTGTCTTTAAAAATCATGTATTTTCACAATTTTTCTCAATTTTTCCCCACATGGAAACCCCATTTGGAAATTTGGAATCCCCCCAGATAGGTCTCTGGATCCGCCACTGAATGACTTAACTACAGACTAAGTGATTTCTACAAACTTTATCAATTTTACAACAATATTGTTACAACATATCTCAATTTATATTAATCACAATTGTTAGCCCGGATGTTACCTCTCCGGCGGTCTGAGAGTAAGAGGAAATTCAAAATCCAATTTGCGACAAAAATATCCCAAAGAATTTCGATTTTAGAAATTCTCATTCTTGATTCCCATTTATGAATTCAAATTTTCCGTTATCAACGATTGTTTTAATTTCATTTTTTGTGTGATATCACGGACTTATCTAATCTAATTCCGTGGTGATATTTTTAAAGAAATAGAGTAAAAACACCAATTATTTTAAGCAGAGACGTATATATTATATACGTCTCTGATTAAAGTAGACAAAGTTTTCGGTGTCAACTTAATTGTTTTGATTTTTACACATCTTTAATGGTGATAAAAATACTCACTCATTTTGTGTTAGTGTTGTCTTTTATTGTTGTAAATACCACAAAATGCTTATTTATACCAGGGACGTATATACTGTCCCTGTTTATACCTATTAACTTTTTTGGTTTATTGATTCAGGGACGTTTATAAATGCGTTTATATACTTCTCTGGCCAACTAGATCAAAATTCTCCTCGAGGTTGGATTGCGCGAAGTTATCTCCCATGTGTGCGGTATCATAGGTGGCGCTCGTTACGTATCGATCAGCTGCAGCAGATGACGAAAGTGGAAGAGGACCGGTGTTTCGGGTGATGTCAGACAAACAGATTATCTCTGAGCATGGCAGGCAACAGTTCCCTTGACAACGTTACCCAGAGGTGGGCTGCATTTTTCACTTTCATGGTATTGAAGATCATTACTGACAAACCCCCGTAATCTTAAAATCTCGGGAGATAGGCCTACCGCAGTAGCATTACTGTAGGCCTGTATATCCGTTTGCAAGTCGGATGAGACCTCCCCTCCCCTAGCAATCATTACAGTTGACTGTCTTAAATTATAAGTACGAGTTTGTTTGCATGATTAACAATATTACAGCCAACAGTAGAAGTAGAAGGTATACATTATATGATGCCAATGCTAATAAACATGAATATATGTTGAGATAGAAGGCTTACTTGTACAAAATCGTGTCTGGAGGTTCAGGGGTTTTCCTGTCTAATACTTACAAAGATAATAAGTGTCACGAATCGATTTTCAAAAATAGCTGCCGTGGAAAAGATAAACAGGTACTTAATATCATCTATACTCGTTATAGTCAATCAAATGATAAGGAAGAAAGGCAAGAAAGTCTGGTGAAACTAAAGAAAAAGAAGAAAAGAAAGCTTTGAAGTAAATGTAGCTGAAACCACAGGTGCTCGGGTTCTGGAAAATATGTGATATATTTAGGTATAGGACATCACTGTAAAAATGAATAGAGTATAAGGGGGTGATATGTAAACAGATAATGTGGAATTATCGAACCCAATTATATATTATCACAGTGATATTAGATACCTAAATGTAACATATTTTCCAGAACCCGAGCACCTGTGGCTGGAACTGGACTATTGCTATACCTGGGTCGTTTTCAGGCAGCCATGCAGGTAGCTCAATAGGTAGAGTGTCTGTCTAGAGTTCGGTGGTTAGTTCCAGGTTCGAATCCCAGTCTGGCTGTGGTTTTTCCATTTCCTCACTTATCTTCATTTAATCAACTACATACTACATAGCTAGCCCAGTTGGTCAGAATATGACTGGTATTCAACCCAGTCAAGATCTGAAGCATCTGATCATCGATTATGGACAGATTGGTCCAAGGATTTAGCCAAATGCTATCATTTTTAGTATCAATTCATAGCCAACAACATGTATAGCATTTATACAAGATGTGTCTTTACGGGTCATCCGAGGTAAAGGGCTCCGCTTATTTCAAGAGGAGGCGCCCTGTACCGTTCACTGTTGCTAAGTTAACCCAAGCGATCTCTGATGCCAACAATATGATGGGAGCTTGTAACCCGAGTCAAAGACGTTACCCCACAGTGGCAGCCATTTTTAGAGGTAGAGTAACGATGGCAGAAGTTGACCAAGAAATGCTTAATCAGAAAAATAAAAATTCAATCCACTTTGTTGAATGGTTGCCATGCAATATACAGACAGCTGTTTGTGATATCCCGCCGCGAAATCTCAAAATGTCGGCCACCTTTATAGGGAATAATACTTCGATTCAAGACATTTTCCTATCGTTCTATGTTCCAGTCGGGGCATAGGTAATCTTTATGTCCACTTATTCATAGTTTTTGCAAAACCTTTTTCGATTTGCTAATATACAATTTTCAAGAAACGAAAACACACTGGTTCTACTTTATAAGAAAAACATACTAGAATAATTTTATCTAAAATATTTAAAATACAAAGATCTTGAAACTCTCACCTGATGTTCTCTTTTGAATTTCATCAACTTTATAATGTAAAATATACGTTTGCATTGTGTACGCTTTCTGAGTTTGTTTATCATGTGGAAATCAGCGATGTCTCTGACCTTAGGGGCTTTGAGGCCATTTTGACTATTATTGTTTTCTCTAACTTCTTATCTCGTGACGTCATCATTGGCACATGCGTCATTATTGAGATTATTGATCGTCCAATCAGGAATCATTCTTCTCGACAAAGTATCCAGCGTTTCTCTGCAATCAAAAGAATTAATCATGTTTTCTTGTTTGATTTACCAATTAAATATTTCAATAATACCAATAACTAAGGTTTTTATTAGTGGATTGAAAGTAGTTTACATTTTGTGATCGATTTGATTAATAACAAGTGTTTGCAAAACTGCTTCAACAAAACAACAAACACAAAAGTAACAACTTCTGTTATAATTAGCACAAGTA